GGATGGAGATTGCTCTGCACGCAATAAACGAGGCAACCAACGACTCACCGACCGGAGAAAAGAACCTAACAAAAATTCCTACAAACAGCAAGAACAGTTATTTTGCTGGATGCCAACTACTTATAGCACTAGATCGAATCTGCCAGTCAACTGATGTTGATCGAAGACTGAGTTACAACCTGTTTTACAATATCAGAGTACTCTAAAATATGTTCGTACGCCGGAAAATGTCAGATAATGCAAAATTTCTTCAGAACCAGATGTCCAGCGCAAATGTCCCCCTTCCCCTCCTGTGCAAACAAAAAATGAGGTGGTGCAGTACGCCGTGAAATCTGGTCTTGGAGGAATAATTCGCCATTTGAATGCTCGGGCGTACGTATAACTTATGATGTTTATACGGTAGAATACGAAGATCACCAGCTTCTGAAAAATCATTCGTGATAAACACGAGGTGGATATACTGGACAAAATGACAGGAGACGCATCTGGCACGCGGGAACTCAAACGCTACGTGGACATGGTCTGCCTAAATGGTCCCAGGGAAAACTAGGAAAGCATAGCCAAATAACAGCCTAACCTCGAAGACTATGATTAATCAACCAGTGACATCCTTTTATACAGCATGTAATTCAATTTTATCATATTTGCTTAATAACCTTGAAATACAAAACTTCACGAAATTATTTGACGCAGCAAATTGATGTTTTCTCGAATTTCATCAGCATAGCCGTCGTTCGAACGAAACTCGTTTAAAATGAAAAGGCAAAACCGGAGCATCTGTGAGTTTCTGGCTCAAGTGATGATGAATTGCTGACCTTTAAATCCAACAAAATCAATAAAAAAGACAATGAGCAATTTAGCTACGAAAACAACGAGAACTATAGAACGCCTGTTTACAACGAAGTTTCACCGTTTGCGCATTTTCAAACAATGTATGAATGTCTAATATAGTAAATACACTCCCAAACAAGACAAACATGGGGAACAAAACAGGGGGTAGCGAAGACAAAACGTGGGTCGGTTAACAGTTATCAGCTATAATGAGACATTGCCGTTATATTACTCGCAGAATTTAAAATTCAGTAAACATAATTCTACTAGTTTTTATTACCTTTCTTATTGGGGAGGTGCACGATGCTTTACGTTTCGTCAACAAGATTTCTGGTATGCTCGATAATTATATTATTCATTTGCTCTCACACCTCGACAACTCTTTCACAGATCCTTTACTCGTAGAGAAGTAGGACTGCAAAACAGGTGCTGCTAAGTGGCACAGCGTTTGACTTAAAACCAAGAGGTCGCGGGCTCGCGCCTCAGTCGGGTGATTCCCTTTTCTTCATTCCGATGTTGATAAATGAGTATCACTCTGTTACAAGGAAAAAGACTTCACACTATGTGCGCCACATAGCTATTATCGATTCCGGCTTTAAAACATAACAGTGCGGAGAGATGGTATGGAAATGAAGATCAGATCAGTAACTTCATTAAAAGTAGGGTGCAAGAAATGTCCCCATCGTGAAAGTGTAACAAAGACCACCACTCCAACAGTGATAAACGTTCTCTCCTTTCTTTCTGTACAGGAGACCTCAGATGACGCTTTATCAGGCTACGGTTCATCGTATCATATTTCAGCATCAGCATCAGTATAACAAGCATCAGGTCACTGGTGACAGCAAAACATTTCTCAACCATAAAGAACGTATTTGTGAAACGAGAATTTTTCATGTAAACAGGTGGATCCAGTAAGAGTAAAACCCCGTTTCGACTGAGTTTTCAAGTATCTTCTGGAAGACAGATACAGCTGTCGAAACCTGGTCTTCACTGTTCTGAATTTATTGCGTGCATAAATAAATTTGTGTACCTGGTTTCAGTGGATTCCACGGTAACAAGTGATCTGGATATCGAGAGGATTTTTAAAATTAAATTGCTCTTAGTTTGCCATTATCCTCAACTTAAAAGCTGGTTCGGATTGAACACATCATCAAATACTAAGTGGTATCCTAGCACATTGTTTCCACTATTGAAGTTCCAAACGAAAAACCCATTAAGGAACCATTTACCACTAACTTCACAGTAGAACTACCTGAGCGTTTTTTTATAAACTCTGCATGTTTCCTATTAACGGTGTTTGTGAAGGAGATGGGATTTAACCATTTTGTTCAAAACTGTTCTCGTCTTTCTCCGCCGATACTGACATTGGCGTAAAAGACGGCCTAATTCTATAGAGGGGTTGCAATTCATGGAATCCTGCCAGACGCATTGCTGACTTTGAGTACGCAGATGACATTGTCCTCGAAAGTAGTAAGGGAAACGGGTTTCGTAACCTGACGGATTCCGCATGCAACACAGCTGAGAAAACGGGCATCCTTTTAAAGCGAGGAAACCATCCGGAAGATGGATCCTCGAGTGCAAAAGGAACGTAAAACGGTAGAACAGATCGAGAAATTTAAATAACTGCTCCATCAACTGCAGAGATGGTATTCGTTACTTCGAGTTAAACAGAATGATCACACGTGTTCAAAATAATTTCGGTACCCTTCTCAACGTTTGGGCTGAGAAAGCGACATCCCTTTCCACTGTTCCACAGAAAACTCGCTAGTGCTTTGCATCGATTAAATCAGTGTCAATATAAGAGAAGAAGATCGTTGTTATAACGAATGACCGCGAACGACATTTAACAGCGTACAACAGCAATAGTTTCGAGCGAAATGACAGTTAACTGGCAGGGCACCGTAACGAATGACTATTCTTTTCCAAACACGTGTCCACGGTACACGAATAAGCTAAAAACAGCAAATTGGTCCTGTTAGGCAACTGGGTAAGCGAAAGCCTTGCGGTTCACATCGCGAGATTTTTCATGCGAGAACCGAAAAACATTGACCAAAAGGTTATCATGCAAAACCAACATAAACGAGCAAGGTAGATGCAGAATCTGTGTTAGAAGAGAACTTTTTCCTTCTACGATGCAGTGACCTGTGTCTTACTGTAAGTCTTAAAAAGCCGAGGATGTATCGAGCGCCAGAAGCAACAGACGCTCTGCTTATATAAACGACTCAAAGCGATGAGCACAACAAGCACACAACAATGATTATGAAAATTGCGATGGCTTGCCTCAAATGCATCGGCTGCGTTGACTATGCATGCATAACCATCGCCCTTGATCCATCCACATGTGTTGATGATGATCCCGCTTGCGTTGGCTGCCTTACTGTTCGCGCAACGTGCGTTGATCACTTCGGCCATTTTTGTGACCAGCATGTTGTACAAAGGCATGTTCTCGCCGGGCGACAAATGGCCGAAACTGTAAACCAACGGCATTCTTTTTTCGAATCCTTCGGCCGCGTCAGCAGGTCGCTCGATGAACAGTGCTCCGACAGTTCCTGGCACGGATATTTGACCCTGACCAACGTCCAGAT